GATAAAGATCATTCAGTCACAAAGAGGAATCGCTTTCTGCAGCTTAAGAAGACCATCACTCTTCTAACAAGGGTCATCCTGACCTGCAAATAACTCCAATAAAGGTCAGTATTTCAAAATGATATTCCATAACTTCGACTTGTAGACCGTTTCAGATTAGTCAAAGAAATAAATACTGTTAAAACGCTTAATGTGAAAAGACACAACAAACTGAGGCCCCTCTATAGCTGTGGATGACTGCTCAAACATGACCTGAAAGTTGGACGTATGAGTGAGAACACAATATCCATATCCAAGTATATCGTCTTCCTGACTCGTGAGATACAATTACCAACTCTCAGGTGCCAAATATATATATATATATATATATAGTTTAATTACAAATACGGCACTCCCCGCAATTCTACTCACGTCTTCTCACTTCCTGACTCGTCATCACGGAGGTTATGACATGAATGAGGGTAACATGAAACAGAAGTCAATTGGCCAAAGAAGAAGTTGACAGCGGGATAAAAGAAGAAGAAGACTAAGGAGGATATAAAGAGATGAAGCCTTAGGTGACACTGCCTGACAATAAACTGCAATAATTAAATAGGGGAATTTGATAAGTTTGACTGCAACTCCCATCCCTTCTCTGTATTGGCTGATAGGAAGATGTGGCGTTGGATTCAAATCCAAGATGGCTGACACCCTGGTGTTGTTTTACCATATCACAGAAACAGATCCAGCACCCTTCTAGAGGTCAAGTCATGTCAAGGGTCAGCCCCTACAGAGGTCAACAGGTTTTTTTCAGGTCAGCTCCATCTTTGAAAGCCAAAGTTCTGTTTTCTTAGTTATTCTGTTGGCTTGAAGATGCTGATCCAAAAAAAAAAATATTTACCTATAACTGTGTAATTGCAAACAGCTACGAATTGAAAATGACTCTACAGGTCAAAAACCAAACAAGAACAGGTGCATCAGTAAGCAGATCAGTCGGCATTACATTTCATTTTCAGTCGACTGGTTAACATTTCCCTTGGTTTAGTTTCTCTTTTTTTTTTACAGTGCATTTGTGTGACATTTCCATTTCATTTACCCAATCCTGTTAAGACTTTTTTAAGGTGGTGAAGCCAAGTTATAAAGTCAGATGATGTTTGGGAGACTAATGGTTGTAGCTCTAACATGGTGTCCAACTCTAAACACAAAGCTGGAGGAAGCCTTTTGGTCCATCACACATGTCCAAAAAAAAATTCTGTCTTTGCATATGTGAGGGAAAATAAACACCTTCTGCTCCCCCTGCTCTGTCTCGCGTCTCTCTTTCTGCTCTACCTCTCTCCTGCACTCTGTCTCAGTCATATGAGGGTGTATAAACATGAGCCTCTGTGGATCAGTGCGCCCAGAGACAGGATATGAGAGCGATTCCCCTCTCCTCTCCCGTTTGAACCTGCGTCACAGACGGAGAAAAGTGGCTCTATTCCCAAAAAAAAAAAAAAAAAAAGGGCTATGCAGGGGTCAGCTGTGCTCTGCTCTGCTGCACGCCTGTTAAAACAGTTTAAACCAAAGCATCCCAGCAGTGGAAGCAGAACCCGCGTACTTATCATACAAACAACTGAGCTGTGAAACAGTTGAGACTGCAGGTGTTACACGCTGAAGCACGCAAACTCACCACCAGTTTTACCTTTTTCAGGCTGAATCTGGCTTCACTTATCGAACCCTGAACAAACAAACCTTTAAATTCAAGTTTCTTTTAGACATTTTCCATGTTTTAAAGTCTAAATTAGTAGTTGAGTAATTAATGAACAGATTATCAGGAGGTGGAAAATTCATTTTCAAGTATTCCTTCTAAGCAAAAAAAAAACAAAAACGTTTTACTTCATCGAGAAAATGTTTAAGGGGTTTTGCCATTTCATTAAACTAAACAACTTTAGTTTAATGACTCTTATTCTGGTAAAACAAACCATTTGTATATTTTACAACAAATAATTGTGATCAGCAGCATTTTTCATGATATCATCACATGGACCAAATTAAAATAACAATTAATAGACTAATTGATTATGAAAAATAAAATAAACCACCAATGAAGTGAATTGTGTCACGTTAACAACAATCACCAGAACACCAGGAAATATGTTTTAGTGCAATTGTGTGCTTTTCTCAAACAGGGTTTCAGAATCTCAGAGAATGTGACGACTGGTCTGATGGCTTGTGATGACCCAACACCTGACTCTAACCTGACACATACATTGGTTTTTCCCTCCATTTGTCACCTACCTTTAGCTCAAAGGTCATCCAAAGACCTGCTTTCGAAACTGACTTTTGAAAATCTGTGAGATCAGTTCTGACCAGGACTGAAATCTCAGAGTTGGAGATCTGGCCGGTTGGTACCAGTTAAAACCCAAGTCAGCAAGTCTTTCCTTACAGTCTGACTGAGGAAGCAGGATCAACCAGGGATTGGAGAAGAGAGAGAGGGATACAGAGGAAGAAGAGGTGTGGATCGAGAGGTGTTTCATAATTCCTACAGCCAGATCCTGTACCTCAGGTTGCCAGGTCCAAGCTGTTTGGGTGGGGAAAGTTAAAAGGCTGATTTAGACGCTGGCAAAAGAAAAATGTATAAATAGCACCGGTGGAGGGAAGAGCAGGAACACATTTTAATAGGTAGACCATTCAGCCTCTATTACCTTCCTTGTCTGTGTCTTTCTTGTACACGTGAAGAAAATGGATTTAGATAAAGTGGCCATCAGACTGAGAAGGTGAAAGGGCAAAAGTAGCGTAGTCGTCGTATGCTGTACTCAATCAGACGACGACCTCGACTGTGTCAGACACTGTCAGCTTCACTTACACTAGAGCCTTCCACTGCCCCCATAGCACCATATTACTAAGTTACTAATAACCCATCTCAGGCTCATTACTCAGATTGGAGAAGTGAAGATCAAATCCGAGATCACCTTACCGCTCTTACCATTAAAACAAAAAAGGCATAAAATAAGAAAAAGCCTTCATTTTTACTGCAGTGACTGCTGCTTGTAAATGTCATAAAGCTGGATTGGTGAGATGGGAAAGGGGGGAGAAAAGGAGAGTGGGGAGAGGAGTGAAATGAGATGAAGTCAGGTACAGACAACGAAGGCAGGGCTAATCTTAGCATGCCATCTAGTGGTAAAAAGTGGTACTGTACAAATGAGATGCTTGGGGAGTCCGGTTATGGCTTGTCTTGAAGTAGGGGATCATGCCCAAATGACAGGCATCAGCAGAAGATGAAATATATCAGAGTCTTGTTTAAACTGTAAGAGGAGTCAGGGGTAATTGAATCTTCATAAAGAGAAAATAAATAAACACCCAGACAACTTAAACGGCTTACTTTAAATCAGGAAGAAAAAAAAACTAGTCTGCAGTTTTTCTAATTAAAAAATCCAAATTTTCTCATGTTGACTAAGTCATTTCTCACAGCGCAGCTTTATTCACAACAATGTGAATCTCAACAATTTCATGCTCTACTCAGCTAAAACCCAAAAGTGCCAACTCGGCAAACGACTCAATATTTATATTTAAAAAGGGAATAGACAGTTACAAGTCCAGATTAATGTGGTTAGGACAAATAGACCCACATCTTTTTTTAAATAACATCAGGGGAATTGTTGGAGTGTGCTGTGTTAACGCAACCATCACTTTTTATACATTCTCAGGAAGGTATAGATTATGTGGACCAGTCACACCAAAACTTCACCTTTTAGGTCCAGTCCAGTTTGAACACCCCATATCCTGCACCGCTGTGAAATGATGGCCAAAAGAAATGTCCTCTGAGCCCGTCTGAATATACAGCACTACGAAGGCCTCCAATTAATGGGCTAGCGAGGGGAGGGATGCGACACCATACGACATAAACAAACTTATCCTGACAGGGTCGCTTGGTTGAAGGAGGGAGATGTGCGGATAGCGAAGGAGGCCGAGAGAAAATGAATTACCTTCCTGACACACGTCAAAGCCAATCACAGCGGAGCATCCCTTGCCGTTGCCGCGCCCCAAATCCCCGCCACCACCGTTGCGTTTCATCTACCAGTGTTAGTATGCACACAGGCCATGCGCCAGCCTCCAAATGTATTCATTTATTCAGAGCCCCTCGGAGAAATCACAGTGTCTTGTTGTCCTTTTTTCCCCGGTTGTCCAGATGGAATTTGCGTGAATAACATCAGTTTAGTGAGGCAGAAAATAAGTACAGGCTAGCACAGCAGAGGGGACTAGATTACACTCTCACCCACCTCCCCAAAAGAAAAGGATGGAAAGACAAGTGTCACCTTCATATACTTCTTTCTCCTTCTCGGCTTTTCTCATTCTCTTTTCCACTTCTATCGAAGCTCATTAGGCATGAGGGGAGGGGGAAAGAGGGCGAGATCTATACAGCTTTTGCAACAATCAGTTTGTATTATCATGCACTGCAAGTGCAATTAAGCAGAAGATCATGAATCAAAGAACTAGAGCATCTTTTCATTAAAAAAGGTGAGCGGCCATCAAGGGAGTGCAGCCCAGCGCTCATTTATCCTGGTTTTGTTTTGCATTTATAACACAACTAATTGCATTAATTAATCAGATGTACTTCACATAGGAAGGAGAGCATCTTGCTCAAGTAATTGAATGAAATGAAAGTGAAGAAAAAAAAAAACTGTAAATCAATATTTCCAACCTCAATAAAGCCCGAGAGAAATTAAAATGTCTTCAGTCAGAGGAGTGGAAAGCTCCAATATTCGTGCAGCCAATCAAACAGAATTCACTTCACAGTCTTTAAGTAGTCCAGTAATGGTCTTTAGTATAAACTCCTCAAATTGAATTCAGTAGAGTCTGTGAGATGTGCTTTGCAATTTCCTGAGAACAACCTCGACCAAAGACAGACATATGTGCAGCATGTTCCATCACGTGTAGTTTTGGTTGTCATTTTGGTTTTGATCACCGTCACTGGAGGAATGCGCATCACCTGAGATTACACAGACAGACAATGCGAGGAAGAAACATCTTGGAGTTAATCTTACCTCTCTGAGAACCGTAGTCCCAAATCCTCTGTACAAGCCGCGGACCCCCTGTTCAGAGACAACAGAGAATGTCACCTTTAAAGACATCAGCGCTGGATATAAATCACGTTTCTATTTCAATTATGATTCCTGGCTTCCCATGATCATACAAACAAGATCACTGAGATTAAATGATAACTGTGCCACATGTGTTGAATCCATAGTAATGTTTAAAGACCATAACTGGACTTTGTCTGTCATGTGTGCTAAATGTTTTAAAGTGTTTATTATATTTTTGGCCACAAGAGTACATGACAAGTACATCAAAAACATGTTTAAGTTATTTGTATATATTTATTATTATTATTATTATTGTTTATTTATATTTTTCACTTCTTTATTGTCATGTATCGCTTGTTTTTTAAAGTGTTCAGGATGTTAGAGTGTTAACAGTGTTTAAGTATGATTGATGTATGTGATGCAGATCAAAAAGAATAATTTTAATAATCGTGATCTCAATATTAATCAAAATAATCGTGATTAGGATTTTTCCCATAATCCAGCAGCCTGCCAGACATTAATTTGAATAATAATTAATTCAAATTAAAATAATAAAAATGTTTATTTAAAGTTCACAACATTTTGAAAAGTGAATGCAAATTCATCTGTGACATTATATATTAAAACATATGTATGTTTCAATGTTCTTAAAGTTCAGTCCTTATTTTTTACCAATCTGATTTTTATGTCACTCATTGAGAAAAGTGTTCTCTAATAAAACCAAAGGTCAAAGGGTCAAACAGTCTCATCCCAACTTGTCTTTCAAGAAAGAGAATTATGACAGCTGTTTCTGGCACCTTTTTTTTTTTTTTTTTTCTTTCTGAAGGCATTGATGGTCACTCAAGGCTACTTTATGATACTTTTCAATGTGTTTAGAATTAAGAAAGAAGTAGAGTTTAGACTTCGATCTCAAGCCCTCCTTGTTCCTGACTTACTCAATCATTGCACACGTGAAAATCAATGTTTGTCTTACAGAAAAAACGGTGTTCATTTTGAATTCTTATCCACATGCTTCAACTACGAATGCTGGCTCTTTTGCTTTTTGGAACAAAAGGTGAATAGTTTGTTTTCAGAGATGGTTGCATATATTATGAATTAGTTCTCACACCAGCCTTCAGTAGTATATGACTGTGGTTTTCACTCAAAATGACATAGCTATGTCCCTAACACACAATCATCCTGGTGAGCACAGTGTGATAGCAATGCAGGTCAAAACAACCAACAAAAAGATCAAAGTTGTATGAAGCCAAAGTTAACCTCTGTACCTCTTCACTGAGTGTGGCCAGCAGCATGCGGTAGGTGCCAGAAGATGGAGAGGCCTGGGTTCTCTGTTTGACCACCTCCGTGGGCACCCGGATCAGACACGCCACCTACAGGATGGAGAGAGCATTACTGATACTAGCTTTGTTTTTGACATTGAGCCAAGGAGAGAAATTAGATCAAGCTTGTGTGATAGAAAGTACTTTAGCTAGCATGCAATTCTGCCAATTAAGAAAACACACAACAGACATGACAACTGAGCATCAGGTGTAAAGGTCATCAGGGTAACATGCGTTCTCCATTCACACTCTTACAGTATGAATGTAGACACTCATTTATACACACTCCGAGCTTCGAGTTCCAACCCATGCACCATATGTCTATAGAAATATGGACTCCCAGCAGCTAGTGAAGATAGACATGAATATTTATGCTTCATAACTACCATGGCCCTAAAGGTAGGCAGGAAGGCATACAGCTGCCCACCTGGCGACTTGATTTCCCATTATCCTGCCCGCCGATCCTGATAACGGCGGGCAATCTCACAGAACGATTGGTGAGCAGCCCCCCTGCTGTGATTTCCCCCAGTCATACAAAAATGCCAGTTCTCCACCAGTGCCACCCTCGAAAAAATAACCATGATGTGGGGTGAGCACAAAAAAGAAAAGAGCAATGGAGTCGCTGCAACAAAGATATGATAGTGCATCGTTTCCTGTTTTCAGCCCACTGTTCAGCAATCCATCGCACTGATTGAGCTTTATTGCCAGAACAGAGTTTTAAGAGACAAAGGGCCCTGGAGGGTCAGGCACTATTTGCGTCCTGTGTGCAAAAGAAAAGGCTGCTTGACAGCTGCAAGAGACGTCACTTCTGTCAGCCACTTGTCCTTTCTGTGGTCAAGGACACCTAATGAGCAAGAATGGGAATATATGTGGAGCACGGAAAGGATAAGTAAGCTGAAAGTCAAGTGAAATCAGACTGAGCTGAAAAGAGAGAGTTTTTGTTCTGCAGCTCTAACTATTGATTATAAATAAAGTGTACTCCTCAGCTATGTTTTGACCTTTACTGTCCAACTTTTTGTCACAAGAAATGGAAGTTCTAGTTCTTTTCAACGCACAATGAGAAGACAAACCTGATTCCCTGTGTATAAGAGCACATACAAAAGACTTGAATAGGTGTCTACAAAAGGACTCAGCGCAAATATTTTTTGTTATTTCAGGTGAGTAAGCCTCTAGTCTAGCTTCATCTTCAATCACAGTGCAACAGTACCACCAAGTGGCCAAACTTCCACCACCATCACCTCCCTGTTATAACTGAGCTTGCTGCATCCATCTCACAGATCTCATTTACCCTCCCTTTGGTCAAGTAACCATTTATAATACATTGTACATCATGTTTTCCCCGAACCAATTCTCCAAAGGACCAGACCAAGGCGGCTAAATAGAAAGAAAGTGGCTATGACAAGTAATTACTGACGTAATTGGATGTGGGGCCTCGAGTTGAGACGGCCTTTCCTCTCCTGTCACTGCAGAGGGGAAGGCAGAATGAGCCAGAGATTATACCAAATAAATTAGGGACATTGTTTATTTGGGAGTAATTTGCACGCCTAGGGGTGGGAAGATGGTGTTGATTGGAGAGAGGACAGAGTGTGCAGCCGCCGAGGCCATTTTAGATCTCAGAAAACAGCGAAGAATGGGGGAACAATGATGATGAATCAGGGCGATAAGGGGCTGGGAATTCAAAAGGCTGGGAAAAAAACAGTGCGAGTATGCTGTAAGATTTTCAAAGAAGAACAAACAATAGGCAGAATCAAAAAATGGAAGGTGTCCCTCAACAAATCAGGCTTGCTACCTCACGTTTAGAGGAGGCACTATCTGGATGACGGACGTCTGTTTATTCCCTGTTTTCCATGCCCTTCATTCTCAAAGCTTTCAACTTGCTTGTAAACTTATTATAAACCCATTGGCAGGCTTTTAAATTCCTGTCCCATTCATCTTTATTTACAAGCTGTTGTATTCGTAAAGTGCCGTTAATTAGGGAGCTGTCTGCCCGTGATTGGAGGCCCTCAGTTTCCCTTGGCCTGTTGTTGTTTATCCAAATGACAGAGTGTGTTTTCAATTCCCATCGCTGGCCTCCGAACAACAAGGTAAGCACTGGAGACTCTCAGCAAATTATCAGCATAGCTGGTGAATCAATCAGCAGATTGAATCATTACATCCCCCACGTCCTCCACTCCTTAGGTACATCATGGTCATCAGAACAGAGTTGTCGGTCAAGGAGGACCAGGATTACCATTGGGCACCATATAGGAAACAAAACAGGCAATTTGCCAAACGAGAAAGTAGTGAGAAAGTGGTGCAGTTAATGGTTTATGAATTTGGCATTTCTAGTCTTCTGCACAACGTGTCACATTAAACCCACTCACACCACATTCAAACATGCCATGGCTGCTACTGTGTATTAAGTGTCCAAACGCCTTCAGTACTATCACATGCACATGCTTTCCTACACTGCTGGCAGTGTTGGATCCTGTGTCTTGCCCAAGGACAGCTGGGGAATCAAACCCGTGACTGTCAAGTTAAGAAATGACTGACTCTACCACTGAGCCCAGCCGCCCCAATAGTACAATACAACATAACAATACAATACAATACATCTCATTTGATCAAGAGACAATAAGTGGTACATACTAAAACAGTGATGCCTGGGAAGACCAAAAACTACGACATCTCCTTCCCTGAAATAAGGAAAACAACCAACAATTATTCCAGTACCAGACTTCTTCCAATTTTCTGTTTTCATTACAATGCCCAATCCTGGAAATGTGTCATAGCACAACAAAGGTTGGAATGAGGTTTCTATAGGAGGGAAAGAAAGCGAGGTAATAAAAAGGGTCATAAGGAAAGGGGAAAAGATGAGGACACTGTGTGTCTCTAAATTTGAAACAACAGCCAATAAATCACAGAGCGTGGTTGATAGGCGATGCATGGATTATTTCTGAGTGCAAGGGAAAGTGGCTGCCAGTTTCTACCACCAAATCTCCTCCCTCTTGCACCCTTCTTCTCGCTGTCCTCCTATCTTGTCATGTCACCCTGTATTTTCCAGTACATCCTCCCATGGACACGTTGTGTTGAGATGGTGGTGGCGCTGAGGGGGTTTATGGATGCGAGAGAAGCCCGCCCGCCTGGCCTTGACAAATGAGCTTTCAGGGCAGACGTCGGGCGAATGGGAATGAAGATAAATCTGATCTAATGGCTGGATAACAGCCTGCTAGAGCCTGACAGACGCCATCAGCTTACACATTCTTTATAGGAGCGTCCCAACACCACAGTCACACAAAAACCAGGACGCTTCAGGCTGGGCAGATTTCTTTTCATTGTCCTGAACCCGGTCTTTCTCTCAGCAACTTATGACTGTCTGCATCTCTGTCCTCCCAGTCTATGTCTGCCATGCCCAATGTTTACATACATCGCCAAGCATGAAGGGGATTTACTAAGGAAAGGCAAAAGTTACGACACTGGAGAAATAAAATACAAATAAATTGCTAAGTACATACTCACCCCCTGCTGTGACAAAAATTGTAACGAAGGACCTTAGTTTGGAATTCAATATTAGATTGGAGAGGCTGCTCTCTTCTACCCCTTAATGGGCATCAGACAAAAAGTTTGACTGTCAAGATTGTAAAAAGATTTGAGTGTGTTTAGGGTGTTGTCTTTTCTCTTTTCCAATTTCCATCCCGTACTTTGAACAGTATAGATTCTGGGCTAGAACTCCCTCTGGTACGATGATAATAGACTCTAGAAAGTTGGTGCCAAGTCAAGCACATCATCCACAGAGGCAGACTCTGGGGATGGGATTAGCAAGGCAATAACTCCCATGAAGCTTCTGTTGTGTGAACGCTGCAGAGTGAGAATACTTGGATTAAAAAAAAAAAGGGACACCTGTGGAAAAGATTTTGCACTCATGAAGGAGTGGAGTGGGATAATCTGACCAGCGACAAATAACAAGTTGCTTATCCTTGCATTAAGTTCCTATGTGTCAGAGCCTTCCCTCACTCAGCTGGACCCACTGACAGAAGGAAAAGTAGAAGGAAGAGTAACAGATAAACACCATGTATGGCTGAGCAGAACAATTAACAGAAGAGGGACGATTAATGGGAAAATGGCGCAGTATGGTTTAAATGTTACCAAAATAAAAGCAATATATATTTCTCAATAGGAAATATAAGAAAATAAAACTTTAAAGCTACAAAGTAGATTCAAAAAGCAAGCAGGTGAGATTGTTGTCTTCCTTAAGGAGCCCGAGAAGAACTAAGGGGAGTAATATTTGCAGTAAAAAAAAAAAGCTGAAAAATCATGCTGAATAAACTAATCCATTAATCAATAAAACGTTTTAGCACTACATGTAACGAGTTTATGCCGCCTCTTGGCCAGAACTGAGTCAAGCTTATGTGAGCACACCAGTGCAATAACTTTTAATTACAAATCATTAGCAACGCCTGAGGAGAAGAAGAATCATATGTGGCAGTGGTTGCATCATAGTGCAGGCGTAGAGACCCTGGGTAGTACTCGGGGGCAGCACTAGAGTAGGCCTTTCATGGCTAAGCCTGAAGATTACTCGCTTTGAACAAGACGTATCCAGTTGCCAGATTGCAGTGGGATACTGCCCCTGCTCCGCGCAGCTCTGCTCCTAGGATTTTATGCCTTTGATGTGCTCAAATCCAGAACAGCGGGGGAAGGGGTTAACGGGAGCTGCAGCCTCAGGTTCACCTTTTACCCTCACATCGACTACGCACAATAGACAAAAAGTGGAAAGATGCACAGATTATAACAATAAGTCATAAACTCCTCCAGTTCTGCATGATTGTTATGATAACTGTGACATATCGCTCTTTGTTTTTCTGCTAAGAGTATACGTCTTATACTCTAATATTATATGAATTTTTATCAACAATGAGACACCAAGACTTAGAACAACTCCAGCAAGAAGAACATCCTTCCATGTGGAATAATCCCATTTCATAAACATGCAAAACTTGGCTAAATCACATCCATCCAAAAGCCATGAATACTGAAAACCTAGTATTTTCCAGAAAGCCACAGTGGTATAGCAGGGGGTGTCCCTCTTTCCATACCCCCTATCTATGTCTACCTTTCTTTCATGCCAATGTAAGTACGCCTGGCCCCCATATGGCTCAGACTCTCCGGTTCCGTGCGAGTGATTTGGAGAGGACGGGCTGAGGAAATTGCACCGTTCCTTGTTGGTTTCAAGCCTGAATTCCCCAGACTAAATTGGCAGAGTCTAGGGGCCTGAGCTGGGAAAGTAGATGAGTCAATAGGCAGTAATGAGATCTTATTTACCCAGCTTGTGGGGGAAATGCTGGGGCAGTCCTGAGGAAGCTCTTTTAACTCAACCAGCTGGACTCTGGGGTCCAGAGCCAAAAGAACATACTTCCCCTCCTCCCCTGCTGCCTTCTTGCATAGTTGTCTGTTAAATTAGAAAGGCAATAAAGGACATGCCAGTGGTGTTCATTTTTGTACAAACAGATCAGGGAAGTAAATAAAGGGAAGAATGAGTACATGGAAGAGCAAGAAGATGTGCTTTCGGCAGCTGGCCTCTCAATGAAGGAACAACCAAAGACAAATATTTAAGGATTACTGGAAAAGTGAAAGAGCAGCGGATGTGCAGAATCAAAAGTTGGGAGAATGAAAGACAGGCAAACTTACGATTTCTCCCAGGGAGGCGGCCAGCATATGAGTGACAGGTGCTAGATGTGGTGCTTCTAGCACTCCTCTGGCGCCGAGCAGGGACTTTGTGCAGTCGTAGGTGACAAAGAAAGCAGCGGCTGAAACCAAGCAGAACCACAGCCATTTAAGGCCCATTAGTCAACCAGCATACAGCAATTAATATCCCTCACTACCACTGACAGGGGAGACGCCGAGGTGTGGACGTTTGTGTGTGCGTGGTGTGTATGTGAGTCTGTTTCTGCGAGTACAAGACAAGGGGAAAGCTCTGAAAGTTAACAGTGACTCATTTAGACAGAGTTGTTTCTCCCAATAGTCAAAGAAATGTATCCTGTAAGAGAGTGGAGTTCGTGAGCAGACTGTAGAAAGCAGATTGGATAGATTTACAAACAAAGTACGAGACCACTACCTCATCGTTATCAGTCTCTCTCTGAGAGGCTCATACAAACTGCTTAAGCTTTCTAATATACCAATTTATTCAATACAGTGCAGTATGGTAACCGCTAACTCAAGGATGTGATACACCTTGGACAAAAAAAAACAAGCTTTAACTACTTTGAATGTGCATGGCACTTATTACAAACGTCTGTTTCAGCAATATTTCAGCCCTGCAGAAGAAGTAGTCCGTGTATGGTTAATTTGTAGTTTTGTACAACATGACTGAAATTAGCCCACTTGTTTTGTTTTGTTCATTGCAAGAATGGAATTCATTCAGAATGTGATGCCACATACTTTCAGTCAGAACAGGCATTACATTGAAGAAGCTATCTTTTTGTTGGTTTAACAAAAATTTAGTGAAACTGTGAATGGGGGGGGGGGGGGGGGGGGGTTGGGTGTGGCACACTTTTCTGTTAATATCACACTCACATCCCAGATAAATGGTTTGAATGATTTATTGATCAGCGAACAGAAGTGCTTCTATCTCCACTCTAGTCAAGCAATACCACACCAGATGGAGTGATGTACTGAACATCAGCACTGTCGTGATTTGCGGAAAATAATCGCAGAGGTTACCAGCTACATTAATCCAAAGGCCAAACTCTGTGTGCTGTAACACTCATCTTAGGTGGAGTGATACATAGTGTGAAAGGCCCAGTGATGGTGTACTCTACATCAGCACTCATAGAATGCCTCCTTGTCTTGGTCAGAACTTACTGTTGTATAGACAGTCTCGAGACATTCTTTTAAGTATTTTCTATTTACTGTTTTTCTCTTTTTTAGTTCATCATTATCTTCCATCTTCCACACAAAAGTCTGCCTGTAAAGCTGTCGAAACAATCGTCTGGTTGTGTTTTCTATCACATACTGTAAAGTGTGTTTTTGGATGCAATGCTGCATTTAACCACAATTTGATTTGCCAATCAAAGCTGCCAACCTGCAGATGACAAGGTTTTGTTTTTTTGGGGTGTGCATGTGCTTCACGGGGGAAAAACATCCAATACAAACAATACTGCGCCTTGAAGATTCATATGAGAACATGTATCATCACAATGACTGTCGTACCGTTGGGGAAGGAGCCGACAGCAGCAGATGGGACTCCAGCGTAGATGCCCCTGAAGCCCCCTGCCTTGTAGAAGCCCTGCTGACTCTGCAGCCTTGTCTTAATAGTGTCCAGGGGGAAGAGGGTCAAATCCACACACATCCCTGCACAGCCTCCTGCCTGCAGAGACAATCACTTTGTGAGACTTTATGAGGGGGAAACACACTCTTTAACACCAATGAGGGAAGATATATTTAGACCTTTCACTTCATTTGATGTGCATATGAGCCACATGGGGAATTGCTATTTGTTGTAAACACAACACTGAAAGTTTCAGAGCAAAAGTGGTGAACTTGTTAGTGGTAACTACAACAAATCAAGCAGACAAAGGGAAATATATGTATATGTATAAATAAATTGAAGTTCTGTTTGTGGCCTCCTGATTTGTGTCAGCTCAACATTCACCCTCCTTTCAGCTCTTGTTTCGTCTACACCAACTCCTGGAAGGTAATATCTGTCTCTTTAGCTTCTAAAAGCTCACCCATGCTAAGCAGCTAGCTTTTACCTTTGTTTGTCAGTTACAGGAAGAGGTGTATAGTTGATTTATCAGAGCTTTTATCACTGAAATCATATATCTGATGATGCTGTTGTGTTTAATGCTAATAATCAGGAGGGGTTAGGATGCTCAAAATATCAAAGACGCAAACTGTACATTACAACCAAAATACAGCAGAACTTTAAGTAACAGAACATAAACATAGGTATTATTTTCAGTAAAATACAAATAGATGTTCCTTTGTCACTGTATTATGAAGGAGTTATTATAATAATGTTTTATGCAGAAGCCCAAGGGTCTTAAAAAGGAGCGAGGACCTACACAGACATAAGGTTCAGCTAAACTCTGTCGTCTATTATTCTGACCTCTCTTCGTCTTTATTGGTCAATTATACGATATCAAATCCTCAAATGCTCAAAAGCTTTTGCCTTTTGTATATTTCTATATTTATCCTTCTATCTTTGCAGACTAATATTTACAGTCCATGATGTGAAGTCATGACCTTCACCACCTTGTCCTTCAAAGTCACCTCAAAGGAAACATGAAGCATGCTGAAGCATATTGATGCTTCAGCATGTATTTGAGTTGAGTGTGTTTCCTTGTCCATCCTTACCTCATAACAGTCATTGTTTTAGTGATGGAATAATGGAATAATTAATGATGGACTGTAAACTGTAAGTCAGTCGTGTTTGTATAATAAGACTCATAACACTGCGGCTGTTCCCTCTTGGGCCAGAAAACCACAGCATGGAGAGGAACAATAACTCTTGATGTGTCACATAAAAAAGAGCTGCCCTGCCCCCCTGGCTTCTTTAAGTAGAGACACAAACAGATGATCTTATCTTTGAGAAATGGTTCAGCTAAATAGAACCGCTCACACAAAAGTTACCACTTTTCAGACTTCCTGTCGATTCTTTATCGAGGACAGTAAGAATAACTCGGTTAATCTAAGAGCTAACTCCCAGAGAGTCACACATGCATTAGTTATTATTTTGTACATTTTAAGCTTGAATGGTTGTCATGATAGAAAGAATAGACCAGGGTTAAGTTATATTATACAGTGTTTCCAGGCTTTTCTGACATATGCATTCCTGTTCCTTTTTTTCTGGTTTGTATGAAGAAAACTACTTCAGCTCCTGTGGTGTTATAGTCTTTAAACACGAAGAACAGAATGCATTTGTCATTACTGATAGTAAAATTCAATATTGGTGTGTGACAATACTATTTTAACGTTGTCATTTTTTACTAGATTGCCACCTTACCACAAGGGACGTGACAAACTCTCGTCTCTCCATCCTCCGCTCTCAAAGTCTCCTCTCGTCGGTCGTGCAATTCGTGAAATTACACCCGTTTTGCATGTTCGACACTCAACCCGAATCAAAACATGCCTGTCAAGGACGCTGCCATCTTGGTTGAACCGCTTCCGCATGACGTCATTACGCATGTTGCTCACGTGCTGTCGAACGCTACTAGCGCGAGTTCATTTCTGTATTTACAGTCTCGGTCACATTTCTAAATCAAGACAAATCTACGCTTTATTCATTTGTTTTTAATTTTTTTTAACTTTACTGATAAAAATAACAATACAGGATATTTTTCTGAAACAGAAAATGAACGCAGAAAAACAAACAAGATAGACAAAAAGTACAAAACGGTGAGATGCCAAGGGATGCTTCAAATCAAAGCATTTTGTGAAACATATCAGACGTACATAAATAAAAAAAAAACATAAAATTAACAGACAATATAAGTCTTAATTGCTTAGTTATTAGTGCTTTGTGAAATTGTAGAAATAGCCTACATTTCAATGTTTTCATTAAATCAGGGAAAAAGGCGACAAATGTATAAATGCGCAATAAATGTGTGATATTCGCTGGGTTGAGTTTTACAGAAAGTATAGTTGGAGATTATTCTTATAAGTTTCATCATGCACTGATTTGTGAGGTAAGTTATATTTAATAATTTAAAACCTCTCTATTTTTTTTGTTAATGAAAAATTAGTGATGTAGCATCCTAACCATTTTCCATAAAGAGACAAAATTATTCCAATAAAACAAAGCAGACGGTACAGAGATATTTGCACCCGGGGACAGATAATGTTTTTTGAACTGAATTGAGAAAAAAAGAAATCTATGCTTTAGTGGCTTTATTATCCCAGCATTTCACATATTAAAGTTCAGGCATGTATCGATTGCATCTTAACAATGCAAAGAAAAAACACACAAAAGAAACAACTAAAAGCTATTCTCAGTTGCAGTTACTCAGTATCTTAATGTTGTTGTGCATTTTGACGGCTAATGTTATTGTTCTAAATTTTTACCCATTTTATATTTGCTAGAAATGTTGCTAACAACTGGGAAAAGTCTAGAAAATAAATAAACTTAATGACACAAAGCATTAAAAGATGGAAAGATTAGGTTTAGGGAGAAGATCCAATCACATTTATCATATTTAAAAATTGCACCAGTCTCATCTAGTTTTAAGAAGACTCTCATAAATTGAATTTGAAGTGTTTATTTGACCATGTGATTAAATGGAGTCATGTACTGACACAACACAGTGATTATCATTGGGGGAAAAATGAAGTCTAAAAGGGAGAAAAATAACTCTTGTGACCTACCTTCACATGCACTTTTATTACCATTCAATAACATTACCCTGTATGTCTCATCTCTCCCTCCTGATCCCACTGAGTGAGTGTGCTCAGGTGAGTTTGTTCTTTTCTAGTGACACGCAGACTGGGTTATTTATGGGCTGTTGTCAGCCAGGCAGCGCCTCCTATTAGGGAAGAGCAGGCGAGGGGCCGCCACCTCTTTATTCAGCCCGGACCCAATGATGTCTGGGCTGAGTGCGCCCAGTTTGAAGCTCTGTGCCCGTCATCCATCTTGTTGATGCGGGTCTCACAGGGATCCCTTTGGATGTGAGCCCCAGCTGGATCTGTAGCGGGCTGCTGTCTTGATCTGTATTATGCCCGGGGATGGCAACAGCATCACTTAGCCTCTGCATCTCACATTTTATTGTCTCAGTGAAGCATTTCATGTGCTGCAGAGTACAAAAATGTCATTTTCTGTGAGTGACTTTTCTATTGCTTTGGTCTGTTTTAGTTACATTTTACTTTGCTGGATTTATGCAATGGATACTTATTATCACACTACTTTTCTACTGCTTCTTTTACAATGCAGACCTTTAGGAAGACTTTGTCCCTCAGTTAAGTCAATAAAAATAATTAATTCTGTGCCATGTAATTGATTTTGTCTTCTTTCACTTGATGTCGACAAGTTTGTGGTGTCCAGAGTGCTGTCTGTTCTGTCATGTAAAGTCATTTATCACCCTGTCACAGGACGTCCTTGGGTATTGGGATTTTTGTCATTTGTGCTCCAAATGCTATGTCTAAAGGAACCGTTAGTAAAAGCTTCAAAAGTGGCGTTAAAATCTACAGCTACAAGACTGGACACCCATAAAAAGTTGTTTAATAGGTTTGTTACCTCTGAAAGTTTAATATGGGTCTCTTGTCCAAAAAAAGTAGTTTGAATCAATGCGTCTGAAACATTTATTTACTTCTGCAGCAGTGATGGAGCACTTTTTTTCCCGGTCAAACTTACAAGCAGCTTGTAGGCTTCACCTTTTTTCAAATGACTTTTAATCAGGAACCTGTCAGGAGTCGAGCTCTGACTGTGAGAGGAAGAATACTAATAGAAACAGAAATTGGTCTGCACCAACGGGGGTGTGTGTGTTTTTGATGAGAGCCCTGCCAGGGGGTTGGTGAATTTATCTATAGAAGTTAATGTTTAAGCTGCCTGGATGAGAGCTGGAGTGTTCAGTTACCCCAGTGTAAGGTCAATGAGAAGCAACCAGAGTCTGGGCAGATTTGCAGGGAGCACCATTGATCTTGACCCACTCCGAGTATGATCTCAGAGATAAAAGGGAGGAGACGAGAGGGGGAACTTATTCACTGTCAGCCACAAGTCAGCAAAGGGCAATTCTAGCCTGCAGGCTGTCTTTGAAACACCGAAGGGCAAAATCGCGGTGGATTAAGGCGCGAGGTGGGGAGGGGGAGAAATGCAAGCAGCCATAAGTGTTATTGTAATAACACAGAGCTGCCAGCTACGGTTGCACTCCCTTATAGAGCATGTGTGCTTTGTGACAGCCAGAATGAACTCAGGAAAAAAGTCATGAGATTCGCACAGGTGAGAGGGTGTTTAGAGTTCCGACTAAAGTTTTTAGACACCTTTTTTTTTTTTGCCTCTGTGTGTGTGTTTGTGGACTATATGTGTTTTTTTTTCAGACAGGGCAGATTGCTTGTCTTCAAATGAATTTTCATTACCTTCATTTTAAAGGCCGAGTTGCTCTTTTGAACACTGTTATGAAGCAAGCATTGTCTTTTTTTCCCCCCCTTGAGAAAGCACCATCTGTAATGGTCATTATTTGTGAGCTGAGAGGAACACACATCTTGAGTGTGACACGGTGATATTATTCATGAGACAGGATGGTCGAGCAGCGTGTTAAACTTCATCGCAAACATAACTCCTGCTCATTAGCCGGCCTAACATTTGCATCATTAGGACAGTGCAACAGCAGGGGCAGGAGGAAATGCAACTAAGCGCCTTTCATATAACTCTGTTTTTTGTTTTTTTACTCTCAGGATGATAGGCTACATGAGTTCGTGACAGGGAGGGAGAGCGGTAAAACGAAGAGAGGAGGGAGGTGACAGTAGGAGAGGAAGGAGGTAGGTGAGATGAAGGGAGGAGAGGAGAAAAGAAAGGTTAGAGAGAAAGAGGAGAACAAAAGAACATTCATTATAAATTCACTGAATCGACAAGCTGTCAGGCTGCGCTGCCGTCTACGTAGTGTATAAGCCTCTGCTGAACTATTGACTCCTACGTCACACCCAAAACTTCTCTCTCCTCTCTCACCTCTGCTTGCATTCATATCACCTGTTTCTGCTGCTCGCTATCTGCTCTCTATTGAACCCCATGAGCCTCGCAAAGCCACGTCCTCATCCTATCTACCCCTTTCCCCTTTTCTCCCCCTCTGCCCTCTCATCCCGTCTGGGCCAGTGGTTGAAATATGAGCTGCCTGTAGCATATTGATCCCATGCCTAGCTCCTGCCTAAAGATAGATGGATCACAGACAAGGCAAAGCACTCCTCCTGATGCCTCCTTCTCCTTCTCCTCCTCTGCAGCTGTAGCAGCGGCAGTGCCAATGGATTCACTGGTTGATATTGATTGCGACGATCAATTTGGCCACAACGCAATGCTGATGGATTCTGTTGTCACTGTCTCAGTAGGAGCTGAACAGAGGGCTGTCACACAGGCTGAACTGTGATGGCCTTCGATTGGTCAGGACGTGTGTAATCAGCTCTGTGTTAGAGCTGTCCAGTGGCAGGGGCCACAATAGAGGCATCAGTTGTCAAGACCTCCTTCACCCTCGGAATAAATCACTGAAGATAAAGCTTTAAATAGCATGCAGATTATTTGATGTGTTTACTCATTTATGACAATCTTCTGGCTTCCTTAAGTCATATATGACATCATATGAGATAGACTAAGGCTGCCATTCATTTATTTGCAATGAGTCATTGTTCAAGCAAAGGGGGAGCTAACAACTTAGCTTAATTAAGCTTAGCTTTATGCTTAAGCTTTTTTTTTAGCATAGGTGTACAAACCTTATTTTAGCTTTGCTTAGGCTTATTTACTTCACATAGCTTAGCTTAACTGTACTTTTCATAACTATCATTGTAAACATTGTACATGCTTGTGACGGAGTCCTCTTTCAAAACACCCCAAAATCTTAAAAACACAGGCATAGTCGAAGACTGCAATTGATGTGTTTTATTTTGAGCCGGCCTCCCAAGGTGAAGTGACAGATATATTTCCAAAAACAGGAAATATTTAAACTATTTACGATACAAAAGTCTTCCAAAAACAAAATTCCACATGAGCGAGCAAACAAAACTGCGCTTCAAAAAGAAAGTCTCCAACACGTTACCTCCTCTCTGACCAACCTGCCTGAAAGCAGCAAGCAGCCATCTTTTAAAGCAAGAAGCCCCTCCCACTGGGCGTTATGAATGACATAACACTTTAAACAAAACACACTTTCTCATGAATGAGATGATTTTTAATCTGTTACATTCATATGGTCTACTCATAACTAAATGAAACATTTTAATCCATATTTATTTAACACCACAGCAATGTATCAGTGGCGATACATTGTAAACAAACACTTAATTAAACAATCAATCACGTGATTACTATTGCGCGCCGCCTCCGCCTATTTAGAATGCGGAAATGGGCCGCCTCTGTCAGGCACCCAAACGGGACACAGCGGAGCGCATATGAAACGCACCAACGGTAAGAATACTATGAATATATATATATATATATATATATATACATCTATACATCATACACCTTTGAGACAAATTAAATTGCAGTTCAAAG